TGGATGTCAAATGAAAGAGCTTCAAGAAATACTTAGTTTGACAATTTAGAACATTTTTGATGTGGTTGAGGGTTGCCCAGCTTAAAGGGCTAAACTAAAATTATTTAATAAAATAAATGAATTACTAACCGATGGTAATCAATGGAAATGGGTTTAAAGTCCTTTATTTAAGAACTATATTTAGAAGGGTTGCCACGTGTTTAAAAAATGAATTTCCACTTAATTCATCAGTTACTTGAAATATTGATAACAATGTCAGGCGAAAAATATTTAAGGAAATTTTAGTTCGAAAATAATTTTTAGGAGGGTTGCCGCCTGTTTTGAATGTGGTATTTCGTTTAATTATACATAAGTTACATGAAATTTTAAAATATGGTTATCAAAAGAACGAGTGTTAAGAAATCTTTGAATTGAACATTTGGTTTTTTTTGTTGAAAAAATTAAACTCAAATTATTTAATAAGTTGAATGGATTGTCAAGAGAAGGGTATCAATCGAAATGGCTTTGAAAATAGTTGATTTCTAAACTGTATTTACTAGAGTTGTCATGTGCTCAAAAAAAACTAAATTCAACTTAATTCATCAGTAAATTGAAATATGTATAACAATGCCAGGCGAAAGATTTTAGTTTGAAAATAACTTTAAAGAGGTTACCACCTGTTTGAAAAGTAGAATTTGTTTTACTTATACGAAAGATACATATATGAAATATCGAAATATAAGTGTCAAACGAAAGAGTTTTAAAAAAACTATAGGCTGATAATACTTTTAATTAGTCATCTATTTTTTATTTTTTTTGAAGGTCATCACATCTGCAACGTTATTTCGAATTTCCCAAAATGAGAAGTCGAATTAAAGAACTGGGATTCTACATAGATGTGCACAGGTTTTATGCTTTTAAGTTACATGAAAACCGACACCATGCGATACCTCTCATCACTCAGAAATGGTTTAGATTAATCATTAGGAATATTTTTAGAGGTTTTTGAATAGGGTTCACTAGTAGTTTTTATTAATAAAACTATGATTTATTATTAGTCAAACTCACAACTTCAATATTCTTAAAAAAATAAGACAGGACTAAGTATATTTTAGCTCACAGGTTATCTTTTAAGTACATAAGACACCACGGCGTATGTTAAGGCTTTACGTTTCTCCCAAATAGATTGGGCTTCTAGGGTTAAGAAAGCTTTAGTTTGAAAGTGTGATATTAAATGCTTTTCACCATAAAGGGTGCCAATTTTCAATGATTATTGCGTTTCAGATGAAGACGAATACCAAATATTGTGAAAGGTTCGCATATACCTTAAAGATGACGGTTTTCTCATGGCCCACTGCACGAAGCTTAGAGTAGAGGAATGTCTTTTAAGAACTTAAAAATTATCCTCGGTTATCAGGTGCCTAGCAATACAAGATTAATTGTTGTCTTTCACGAAGTTCTTTAAATAAATTTTCAGCCATGTACCCGCCCGTATTTCGAGGTTACTACTAGTTTTAATAAATTGTTAGTTTAATTTCCTATACAATTAACCTTTAGGTTTATGCATTTTAAGAATACATCGAAAATTTGTTTTAGAGAATCATTGTGAAATAATTGCAGAAACGATTAACCGGTTTGCTGAGCAACCGAGACGTCTGTTTTTTAAATAATTTTTGTAAAACAAATTGGCAAGTACATATCGTCTCCCGCATGCCAGAAACATGAATGTGTAAAGGTAAAAATGTTGGGATTTTTTTATATATATTATGGATATTTTTTATATTAAAATGGTACGAAGCGACAATGGCAAGGCATTTGTTAATTCTCAGCTTGATAAATATTTTCCTGAGAGGAATTCGGCACCAAACGACATTCGGTGTGACTGAAAGAGCTAATATGACTCTAGTGGAAATGGCACGGTGTATGCTAAATTCATCGGGTTTGTCACAGACATTATGGGCAGAAGCCATTTGTACGGCAGTATATGTAACAAATCGGGCACCTACGAAGATGCTGGGTGATGTAACACCATATCAAAGATAGCATAGGCGGAAGCTATCCGTATCGCACCTGCGAACATAGGTTGTGATGCGGTAGTTCTACAAAAGGGCCCAAGACCTCGCGGCAGTAAATTTTTACCAAAAGGCGTAAAACTCAATTTCGTCGGGTACCATGATGCAGCAAAAGAGTATAGATTAATATAAGTACCAAGCAAATTTGAATCGGTCGCGATGTAATATTTTTCGAGGACTCATTTGAAAAATTTAAACGTTGTGACGAAAGCTACGAGGACCAATTTTTTATTGATTTCAACGCGAATTCTAACAATAAGTCAAGCGATGTAAATGAAATGCTGGCAGTAGACACCGTGGCAGTGAGTGTGCCAGATAATACAAATGACAATGATGCTCAAGATGAAAGCGAAGATTCGAGTGAAGAGGAGGAACTAATGATTACCGGGCGAAAGCGAGGGCGGCCAAGAAGTGTGCGAACAGGTGGCGAAGGAAGACCGAGGAAGGTGTATTGCACTGATTCTGGCCCTTGAATGTTGAATTCGATAATAGAAAATCCTGATTCGGTGGCTAAGGCTTTGAGCTCAAGCGATGCAAAGCATTGTAAAACGACAATGCGAGCAGAATATGAAACGTTGCACAGTGGTTCGGATAGCAGACCTAATTGGACGAAAGTCAACATTTTTTTGTTTTTAAAATACTTAATGGTACTTGGAATACATTCCTGACATTCAAAGAGAATGGAATGTGTGGAATACATTCAAAGAGAAATTTCATTTATTAAAGCATTAACATATGAAAACAAACAAAAAGAGGTAAGTCAACGCCGCCTATTTGAGAACTCTATTTTAAAAGCTGAAATTTAACTTAAAAGACTGCTAATTGCACTCACAAATATTTGCATAATTGGAAATTGACTTTATAAACAAAGAAGTGAGAAAGTCTAAGTTCGGGCGGAGCCGAACATTAAATACCCGGCGCAAGTATTAAATATATGTTTTCCACCTTTCCGAAAGCTACCGCTACATGATAAGCCGGGGTGTATACATTTTAAGTAAATTAGCGTCCTTAAATTTCGAAATATTGAAATTTCAAGCATATCTGAAATTTACCGTTATATGAAANCTTCTGCTTCTATGTGGCAAGCACAATAGCCATACCGAGTTTGGTACAAATTGGTAGATCGGTTAACGAGATACATATATGTGACCATAAGTGGGCGGTGCCACGCCCATTTTCCAAAATTTTACCATAAACGTATTTCTTGGTAAAGAATTGTTGCAAGCATCAATTTTGAATAAATTAGCTTCAATATTTACTGATTTATCGAAGATTTTGTATTTCTCTAAATTACCGTTATATGGGATGTGGGCGTGGTTATTGTCCGATTTTAAAAAGTTTCGGCGGTTTATTATGCTGTACCAAGGCCAACAACTGTGCCAAGTTTGGAAGAAATTGGTGCAGCGGTTACCAAGATATACACATGTAACCATAAGTGGGCGTGGCTACGCCCATTTTCCAAAAATTTACAATATTCTTATTTTTCGTCTAAAACGCATTGTAAATATCAATTTTGAGTGAATTATCTTCAGTAGTTACTAAAATATCGCAGTTTTCGCATTTCTGAAATTTACCGTTATATGGGAGGTAGGCGTGGTTATTGTCCGATTTCGCCCATCTGCAATACCATCCGTCCTACGCCCAGAAGAAGTCCATGTACCAAGTTTCGTTAAGATATCTAAATTTTTACTCGAGTTATCGTGTGCACAGGCGGACGGACGGACGGACGGACGGACGGACAGACAGTCACCGCTTAATCGATTTCTCTTTTCATTCTGATCATTTATGTATAAATTTGTCTATATCTATCTCGATTCGTTTTGCCTGTTACAAACAACCGTTATGTGAACAAATTTATAATACCCTTGTGCACAAGTGCGCTCGGGTATAAAAATTACACTTATTCCACTATAGATTCAGGGGTCATAACGCAATTTATGTCCACATTGGTATAAGCAAATTTATTCTGAAAAATCGTCGTTTTGATGAACTAAAAATATAAATTAAAGAGTAGGAAAAGGAAAGGCCGCCGAAGGCCGTTATAAAACCACTTGCATATTATTTTTTATACCTTCGCAAATGCAGAGGGTAAGTTCGATAACCAAGTCTAACCAATTGGCTTAGATATTTACATTTTAGTGACGGTATGTCAAATCTCAAAATTCAAAAGTAATTATAATTATTAACAGGAATGTATCTGAATATAAATATAAGATCAGTGGCGGATCCACGGGTGAGAGGGGGGAGGGGTTGTGTGTTAAAACAGAAAAATACTTGGAGTTATAAAACGTTTGGTTATGTAAGAGTTAAAAAAAATAGTACCTCGCGAATTTTCTGCTTTCTGAAATTAAAAAATTATAAAACAGGCATGCAAATCCTTAAGCGCTGTTATAAAATTTTTTTCTGAAATTTATTTGTTTCGTGCTGTGATCTTAAATTTAATCATGGTAAATAAAATCTTAAGAAGTGAGTTGTTTGACATTTGGTGTTGCTGAAACTTCTAAAAGACAATAAGGTGTCCGTGATTATGTGATTAGTAAATTGAAAGAAATATCTGATGAAAATGCTCGTTCCGAAGTAAATAAAGTGAATTAAGTAAATGACTTTAGATTCGTAATCAGCAACCCAGAATACCCAGTTACATAGAAATCTACCGATTTTTTTAAATTTTCGTCCGCCATATTGGATCCGCCATTTTGAATTTTTGGTAAATGACTTTAGATATGTAATCAGCGACCCAGAAACCCAGTTTCATAGAAATCTACCGATTTTTTTTAATTTTCGTCCGCCATATTGGATCCACCATTTTGAATTTTTGATAAGTGACTCAAAAATCCCCTAGGTAAGAAGTGGTGTAAAGATCCATCAACGAGTATTTGTTTAAATAATTTCGTTTAGCTAGATTTGTGATCCGAACCACTGTGCGTTGTTTGGTAATGACACCTGGGGGTCAATTCTCGTTCTGTGAAACGGTGAAATGAAAACTTTTTTCGCGTTTTCATTGCACTTCCGATTCGCTTTCAGTGAAAAAATGAAAAGAAACGTCAAAGTGTTTTCACATGAAAAAAAAAGTGGAACGAAACGAAACTTTTCACTTTTTCACAACCCTGACGATTCTCGTTCTGTGAAACAGTGCAACCAACTGTCAAAAACTTATCATATGTAAAAAAATTATACACAGCCTATTTATATGTGAAAACAAGATGGAGAAGATACCAGGAGGAAAGCGCGCCAGCGAAAACCAAAAAGAGTTTTTAATAAATTATCTAGAAGACAATGTAGACATTGCAAACGATAAGTATGAAGCCTTTTTAACATAAACAAACGAATACCAATTATTTATAATTATAGATTTGTGACGGCAGATGGTGCCAAATTTCGCGAAGAAAAGTGGAAAGAACTAGCGGTGAGCCTTAATGCTCTTGGCGGCACTCAAAAGGATGGTGCAAAATGGAAGAAGTATTGGAGCGATTTAAAGTATGTATATAAATTTTTCATGATGTGATTATTTTTTTAATGTTTTGTTTTAATACCTACAAACAGACTTCATACTCGCACAAAATGTAGTGCGATACGGCAGGCAGAGCAGAGAAGTTGTATAAACGGTTTGAGCCGGGCCAAAGCACTGTCACCGCTGGAAGAGCGCATAATTAAGATTACAACTGTGCAGGCAGTCGATGGTGATGAAACGGGCGAAGTGGGCTTTGAAGCACTCGACATGGCAGAAGCTTCTCACAATCTCGCTGACATTGTGGAGGAGACATTCGAAGTTGTTGTGGCTGAATGCGAGTTAGATGGTACTGCAGCCGCAACCACATTGGAAGATGCAACTACGTGTCCAATGATGGGGGCGAGCACCTCAACTGCTGCAGCAATAAGAGGCAGCACAGCAGCAGCCCGTTCGAGAGGGCGAAAAAGAAAGGCGCAAGCAGAAAACCCTCAGTTAGAAAAATTGTTTAGGCTAGAGGAAATCAAGGTAAGGGAAATGGAGATCGCCAATTATTTAAAACGCGAACAGATCCAAGCGGTGAAGGAGCAGACAGAGGCAATAATAGTGGGCACGCAAATGAAAGAATGTATTGCAGAAAAACTACAACATTTAATTGAAATTTTGAGGCGGCCGTGAGAATGTTTTAATTTTAGAAACAGCCTTGTCCATAAGTATTAGACAATTTTTATTATACCTTTTTCTAATGCTTAAGAAAACTTGAAGTCCTTTTTATTCTTAGTATTTTTAGAGTTTAAGAAAATATGAAGTCGGTTTTACATTTAATATTTAGAATTTAAGAAAACATGAAGTCGTTTTTACTTTTAAACTTTTTTAGAGTTTAGGAAAATATGGAGTCGATTCTATTTTTATTTTTTCTAGAGTCTATGGAAAAATGATTTTTTTTTAGCTTTTAAAAATATATGAATTTCTCTGTTTAATGAATTTATGTACAAAACTTATTTGTGATAAAAACTGCATTAAAAAATACTTATCTTGGAAATATAGCAATCTATGTGTGTATTTTTATATTTCTTCTGGAGCCTAATATGAGATATCGAATATGAAAGAATTAGATTTTTTTTTTTATTTTTTAGTCTTTAAGAAAATATGAGGTCCTCATTGCAATGAATTTTTGAACAAAACTTTTTGTGATAAAAACTGCCTTTAAAAAGAATTTAACATTTGAAATATAATATACATATGCATATTTATTAATATGTAAATAAGTAAAAATACGAATGTAAAATAAAAAGTTGAATTATTTTCAATCTAATTTTGAACGTTATTAGTAAAAGCATTTTGAACAATTTGCAATCGTTGTCTTTTCGCAATGGATAATATATTCTGTGTTGAAATAGCTGAAGAAGGGCCACCACATTCTTCAGGTTCATCAGAGTCTTCCATATAAATTTCATCGAACGGCACTCTAGCCCGAATCAAGTAGTAGTGTAAAACCAGGCAAGCGTTGATTATGAGGCCTGCTTTTGGTGGACTGTAGAAAAGGGCTCTTTCCTTCGACAGACAGCGAAATCTGCTTTTTAGTAAGCCAATGCATCTTTCTACAAGAGCTCGAGTTGACTTGTGTGCTATATTGTAGCGCTCTTCTGCGGTACATGATGTCGCACTAATTGGTGTCATCAGCCAAGGCTAATTTAAAATTTATATTAGCATTAGATCTTTAACAAAGAAAAATAATATAAATTGTACCTGTAGTGGGTAGCCACTATCACCCAGAAGCCAAAAATCGCGCTCACCCGCCTCATAAAGCTCCTCCAGAGCTCTGCAAGCTCGAGAGCGACGCCATACATATGAGTCATGAGCAGTACCTCCGAACCGAGCGCTAGCAGACAAAACGATATAATCAGCATCACATATTATCATAACGTTCTTGGAGTGCCCACCCTTTCGGCAAAAGTAAACATGCTCAATTTCTTTCTTCGGGGCTGATATTTTGATGTGCGTTCCGTCTATGAGTCCGATTATTCCAGGAAATTGGAATTTTTCCATGAATTTTATTTTGAGCGCCGGGAAGTCTTCGCGTTTTGGGAACTTTATATGTCTGTGGGCTATGTTATTAAGTGCAGTTGCCACCACTTGCACACATCTGCTAACTGATGTTTGGGATAAAGCCGATAAACTGTCTTGCCCCACACTTCTTTGAAAGCTACCAGTGGCAAAAAACGCAGGGCGCTTAAAATAATTACATGACTCGGAACAGCATGTCTCCGTTGCGAGTTCGGCATAAATGGCATTAATTCATTAATTAATTCCAGGCACAAAGCTTTAGGGAACCGATATAAATCAATGAAATGCTCGTCTGTTGTAATCTCAAAGGGATTTTGGTCGTCGCGTTTAAAAAATTTACACCTTTATTACCTTTGCTCGTCTCGAATTCTTTGCGATAATTCTAATAAAATAATTATTCCCGACATGTTTTGTTTACGTTTTCCTCAACTTTGACATTTACTTCGAAAATTCAATAGCACAGTTGCAAAAGTTTCACGACTATAGTGGTAATGGAACACGATTTTCACAGCACAAACCAGAATCGCAAAATAAGTGTCTGTGAAAAGGCAGAGTGAAAAGTAGTTGTGAAAACGAAAATGAAAACTTTTTTTTTACTTCATCTTATCACAGAACGAGAATTGACCCCCTGGAAGCTGGTGGAAAAGCCTAAGAACAAAAATATAATATGGTGCAAATGGGTTTTCGCACTGAAGCGTACGTCCGATGGTTCCATAGAGAAATACAAAGCGAGTTTAGTTGCAGTAGGGTGCTCACAAAAGTATAATGTAGATTATCGTGAGATTTTTGCACCGGTAGTTCGTCACCCGACAATACGTTTGATTTAGGCATTAGCTGCAAAACATGGATTGTTGGTCAATCATGTTGACATAGTATCAGCGTCCTTGAACGGTGAATTAAGCGACAGTGTATACATGCTGCAACCACTCATAAGGTCTGTAAATTGAAAAAGGCTTTGTATGGGTTAAAGCAAGCCGATCGCGAGTGGAATCGCAAAGTAACAGACATTTTATTGAAAATGAAATTCGTAAGATGCAAGTCAGACACAAGCTTTTACATTCGTCGTAATGGTGATAAAATTAGCATTATTGGTCTGTACTTTGATGTCATGTTGTTGGCGTGCTCGAGCAAAGATGAGATGTTGAATATTATATCAAATTTAAACAAATTTATTGAGACTGTCGATCGCGGCCCAATATCTTTCTATTTGGGTATGGAAATTGAACGCGAAGGTTATATAGGTGAAATGGCTACTCACCAACGGCGGTACACAAATGAGATTATCCGGCAATGGGGAATGGAAAACTGCAAGCCATCGGCGACTCCATAGGCTCCTGGAACGATCCTACAGAAGTGCGAACAACCATGTAACGACCTGGGAATAAAGCGGTATCAAAGCTTGATCGGTGCACTTATATTTTTAGCGGTGATCTCGAGGCCAGATATCGCTTATTTGGTGTCCAAATTATCGCAGTTTGACGCGAATCCACATAATGAACATATGAATGCGGCTAAACGCGAACTAAGATATTTGGCGAAGAATCCTGACGATAAACTAAAATTGTCTGTTAATTTTGCAGACTTTCTATGCTTCACAGGTTCTGATTGGGGCAGTGACAGTTGTGACCGGAAATCGTACACTGGTTTTGTCGTTCTGATCGCTGGTGGGCCCGCTTAAGCAGCCTGTTGTGGCCCTAAGCACATTGCGTTGTGCCAGGGGACGAAAGAACTAGTTTTCCATCGTGCCCTTCTGAGCGAAATGGGATTCAATGAATTCATAAAGAATCCTACCCCTATTTTGTGCGACAACCAAAGTGCACTACTAATGGTGATAAATCCCACGGTTCAGAAGAGGAGTAAGTACTTTGACATACGGTACCGTTACATACGTGAAAAATTGGATGAGCAACAAAAAGAGGTGCAGTACGTTTCGACAAAGGAAAATGTAGCAGATATTCTCACTAAGGCATTGGGAAAGCAAAAGCATATCGATGTTTCTAAATTGATTAAAATTGAACTGCAACATATTTGAAATGTAATTCTTAATATTTTGGAGTTTGGTTTGAGGGAGCGATTGTTGAATTTGAAATGCATTTCTGCAAACCTAAACTCATACCTACCTATTAGTTGTACATAACACTTCCGAACAAATATTTTCAAGCGAACGGTCACGTTTTATTTAATCTGCGCAAAATCTCCTACAAAATATTTACATAGATACATATATGTACATTGTACATTTTAAAACAAACAATAAATAAATAAATGCAGGTATAGTCTTAGGCACACAGATGAGATCATTTAACATTTTTTGGTTGTATGAATTATATACATATGTACATGTTATGTACCAATAAGTTTAATTTCTTGAAAGTAAATTTAAATCAAATAATTACACACGCAAATGTTTAGCAGCTGACTACACAAAGTGCGGATGACTTTTGTTTCCAAGGTCCTTGCATAACATTATGCTATAGATACTGTCAATATTAAGTTTATTTCTAAGTTTAGTTTTTATCAAAGAAAGCGTTGAAAATATGCATTCTGCAGCCACAGATCTATGTGATAATGAAATTATATTAAAAAAAAAAAATTGGCGAGATGCGTGAAGTTATTTTCATTCATTCCATTTTTAATAGAAAACAATTTTCCTAAAACTTGTCAATATCAAGATCGCTGGAAATATCAAGCTCACTTAGCCTCAGTAAATTCCACTGCCTGGTTACTATACCAGGATCGCAATCTATGAGATGGGGAAACTTAAACAAATGAGGTTAAATTGGTAAATCTTCTTTAGAAACTATCTTAGCTGTTTTTATTATTGTAAAAGTTTTATATCTTCACGCTTGAAATCAAATTTGAAATTTTTGGACAATTTTTGGAAATTTGGACCAGCTCTATGTAAAACTTTGAAATATTAGTCTTCAAGAATTTTAGAATAAACATCTAAGCATTCGTTCCAACAAGAAGGCCAGATATTTTGGTGTGATTATTTTCATTTTTAAAATCAATATTAATATTAGTTGCGTTCTCTAACTCGCAAGAAGTTGCAAGAATTTACAGGATTTTACCAGAAAGCGTTCCCGTACTCGGTTCGCTGGCTTCTTTTGCTTTGTGACAGTTTTACAGGTTTCAACCCAGAAAAGTTGGGGAACGCAACTATTGTTAGGTACCGATCGCATCTTTTTTAATAAAGTTATTCAAAATTAAGAGACAGTGTGCTTTGGTAGATTGTTAAGATTGTTAATTATGGACAAAATATACGACAGAAATAAAAGGTAACACTTGGTTTTGAGACACATTCCTTCTGCCAGGTCTGAAGATGGCATACCGTTTACTTGGTAAAAGCAGGAAACAAAATAAAGTTTCAAACTATACCATTGCTCAACTATTCTTAACACAACGTTTTCTAGTGAAAGCCATCTTGTTTGAGAATGCCAAAGATTTTGCGGGGTTTTACCTAACAGTAGTCCTGAAATTCCTTCAGTTCATGTTTACTCTTTGGACTGTGGGAAAAGAAACCATATATGTTTCGGCACAGTGTCTCAATGCTTTTCGGAAATTTTTTACAAGCGTAGTGAGTGGCATGTGCACTTTATCTAAACATATAG